CCAGATACATAAATGAGAATATATAAATGTCCATCTAAATTCTCTCTTTAATTTTTTTTACAGAATACTTCATTAAAGTTGTTTAATGTACAAGTTCTCATATGTTATTTTGGAAGTCCTTTATTGTAAAGATAATTCTTTTGTCTGATGACAAACAGCAGCCATATTGTCAGTGATTATTCTGGACCTCCACGTTGGATAAATTCGATTTCTTCTTGAGACACAAGTTTCCTTCTATATTTCTGAGGTAATGTTTTTATTATTTCTGCAGTGTCTGGTGGACCCTGCATCAGCAAATCTGGTGGTTTACTTCCCATTGAATGTTGAGACATTGCAGAAGCGTGTGATGGAATTCCTGCTGATCGCAAAGCTTCTTGTACATTGGGTTTTGGGTTGTCAGTTCTATCAGGGAACCTTATTAATGGAGCATGTGGCTTGACTACCTGAACGACCCTTCTGGCGGACGCCATTTTGCTGCCCATCATGACCTTCATAGTATTCTTTTATTGTCCTTTTTATTTCCTTTGATTCTGTCGTGAGGTCACCCATATCTTCTCTTACACATGTTATTTGTGTCTTCTCCCTTTTTCCTTTTGTTATATTTGCCAATGGTTTGTCATTTTTGTTGATCCTTTCAAAGAACCAGCTTATTGTCTAGTTGATTCTTTCTATTGTTTTTCTGCTTTCTGATTCATTTATTCTGCTCTAATCTTTATTATTTAGTTACTTCTGGTGACTGTAGGCTTATTTTGCTGGTCTTGTTGTAATTGTTGTAATTGTTGTTTTAATGTGTTGATTTTGGTTCTTTCTTCTTTTTGGATGTGTGCAAACGTTGCTAATAAATTGCCCTCCAAGCACTGCTATTGCTTTGTACCAAAAGTTTTGGTATATTGTGTTTTCATTCTCATTTGTTTCAAAACATTTTTTTTCTTTCACTTTTTTGTTGTTTGTTCTATTACCCAGTAGCTTTTAAGCAGGAAGTTATTCAGTTTCCATGTATTTAATTTTGTTTCCTTGATCTTCCTATTGTTGGTATCTAATTGTATAGCATTGTGATCTAAGAAAACGGGTTGTAATATTTTTATATTTTTAAATGTATTGAGACTTGCTTTGTGGCCTAACATATGGTGTATCCTGGAGAATGTTCCACGTTCAATGGAAAGAATGTGTATCATGCTGTTGTTGGGTTGAGTGCTCTGTATTCACCTATGAGGTCCAGTTGATTCAGTGGGTCGTTTAGTTACTCTGTCTTTGTTGAGTTTCCACACCAAAACTCTTAATCCTCTTATTGGTTGATCACATCAGATCCCATGGTGGATCATCACATAACTATGAAATCACTAAGAATCATGTGGGGGAGGGGTGGGCGGGGAGACAATTCAATCCATGACAGGAAGTTAAATCTTCACTGGAGACTTGGTTTTGCAGCCAGCATGGAAAGGAAAAACTAAATATAGTCCAAAGTTGTCCTCACAACGCAGGTGTGCTGAGTAGGAAGGGAACATGCTACAGATAATAAGGAGGTGGGGGAATCAGGAGGATTCTGCCATCAAGTCCATTCTGACTCACCATGTGACCCTACTACGTCCATACAAGGACAGAGTGGAACTGGCCCATAGAATTTCCTAAGCTGTAATCTTTATGGGAGCAGATTGTCAGGACTCATGGAGCCCCTGGGTGGGTTTGAACCATTAACTTTTCAGTTAGTATCTCAGTGATGCCAGCAGTGCTCCTTCTGGACATACAAACTAAACCCAAAACCCATTGCTGGCAAGTCAATTATGACTCAAGGACAGAGAAGAACTACCACAGAGGGTGTTCAAGGCTGTATAGCTTTATGAAAGCAGAGTGCCACAGTTTTCCCATAGAGCTGTTGGTGGGTTCAAACCTATGAAGTTGTGGTTAGCAGTAAAACACTGAACTTGTGGTAGCAGTAAAAATGCAACAAAAGCTATTGAGGTAGTGGTGGGTGTGTGCCACCACGTCAGTTCCAACTCACGTTGTTAAGTGCTGTTGAGTCAGTTCCGACTTATACCTATTCTATATTGGGTTTCTGAAGGAGCTCTGGTAGCATAGTGGTTACGAATCGGGCTGTGAACCTCAAGATCAGCAGTTCGAAACTACCAGCTGTTCCATGGGAGAAAGATGAGGCTTTCTGCTCCCGTAAAGATTTACAGCCTCGGAAACCCTGTACAGGGTCGCT